AAGGTCAGGTTATCGGCCGGCACCTCCCCCACCCCCCACCCCTCAAGGGTTGACCCGGGGCATCGCCGAAGAATGCGAAACGGCCGCTTTTCGTCGGACCCGAGAGCATCTGTTGCGCCACCTCCGGCGCCCTCGTGTTCGATCTCGGCCCGCGGCGGCCTCTGGCAGGAGCTGCTCAGCGTCTGTTACCTGACGCTCATGATCGTGTGCATGGACGCCCGGCGCCCCTCGCGTGCCTGCCAGAGGGGCAGAGGACGAACGGCCCTGAAGCAAGAAGAGGAGATTTGATGAGCCTGTTTTCCACCACCACCACCATAAGTTGGAGGGGCGAAGGAGGAGGGCGAGGAGGTGGAGGAGGAGGAGGACGACGAATATGAATATGAGGAGGAGGAGGAGGAGGAGGAGGAGGAGGAGGAGGAGCAGAGGGGAGGAGGAGGAGGAGGAGGAGGAGGAGGAGGAGGAGGAGGAGGACCCCCCCCTTGTCTAACTTATGATGGTGGTGGTGGCAAACACGCCCATCAGGGATCGGATAAGAACAAAATCCATGAGTCTGAATTTTGTGGGCTCCGCGCGGATTCCTCGGACCTGCGCTGGGCTCCCGTGGCGGCGCATCCTGCGCCGCCCCTGGCGCGCTCCGCGCGCCCGGGAAGGGGTCCATCGCCGATCCAAGACATCCGCGCGGAGCTCAATGCTTATGCAGTTGCTTGTCTTCCCTTGGAAAAGAATGCGGGCAATACTTATATCCATATCCAGAGCGTAGTGCACTTGTTGGGAAGGGGTGCCGCAAGGCCGATGCACACTGGATATGGATAATGATCGAACCTTCTGGGGCAAGATTTTTATTGATATCCTGTGCGCCTCCGGTTTCTGGGGAAGAGAGCCCAAAGCTTCAAGACGCACTGGATGTGGATATAACTATTGCCCACAAAGAAAGCATACGTCGAGTGAGGAAAAGCAGTACAGACATTAGAGTGTGGGGGGGGGGGGGCGGAGCGGTTTTACACCGTCCCTGGCTGCGCGGCTGGAGCTTAGCTCCTCGGTGTGGATTCCTGTTCCTGCCAGCCCCGTCCCGCTCCCCGGCCCGCGACCCACCCACGACCCACCCGCGATCCACTCGCGACCCACCCGACCTGCTTCGCGACCCACTCGCGACCCACCCGCGACCCACCGCGCCCGATTTTCTCCATCCCGCCGTCGCCGATGCACTGGCAATTTGGTGCGACCCTCTGACCTCATCTGCTCTGGCTCCCTGGGAGCGGCGCTCTGCCGTGCCCGGGCTCAGCACGCGTGGGAGGACACCGCTGAAACCACAGAGTTTTCCAGCAGCCGTTCGCGACGCGGTCGTTCCTGCGGATTTCGCGGTGTCGGCGCAGTTTCCGGCTGTTGCACGTCCCTGATCTTTCGCATGTTGTTTCGCATTCTGGTGTTGAGATTGGATTGTTCGGCGTGCAGCGAGAGGCGGCGTCTGGCATTTTGAATGCGAGCCAGTGCTGGAGGTAATCAAACGCCATGCCCCAGCAAGCAAGCGCGTAGAGTTCTGCTCGAACTCCGGTGCTACCGCACCCTCGTAATAACTGGTACCCTCACACTTCATTTGTCACCATGCAGTTGGTCGCGATGGGCCCCAGCGTTCACCTGCTCATGTTGCAGATGCTAGGCACCGGTGCGATCGAAATCCGCAGGCCGTCTTCTTCGCAGGGGGGATCTTCTCTGTTGGAGTACGGCAGCGATGCCGGCGGGCAGGGCAAGGTCTTCGGTGGTGTGACGAGTCATTTCACTCAGACTGCTGACGATAAGTCGTATTGGGCTGCCGTTGGAATGAAGAACAAAGTGGGCGTTACACGGTACCAGAACTACGAGCTCAAGCACATCAAGAGGAGTGATGGCAAGTTCTTCTGGGCCGATTCCGCCAACCGCGAGGACATTAACTTTACTGGCGCGAAGGACCTTACAGCAAGTGTGACCTGGGGATGGCACCACCCGTCCGGAGTCTACAACACCATCCCGGTCGGCAGCCCCCTCCTCGACGACCAGAACAACATCTACATCGGAGCCGACGACGCCATCCGGAAGTTCGACGTAAACGGTGTAATCAAGTGGAGTTACGCCCCCCGAGGTCCCGCCTTCCCTCCCTCATTTGCTTGCTAGCTCCTTCACTCCTCCTTCCTTTGAGCGTCATTCAATGTCGCTATGCCTCTCAAGGTCAATTGGCGGCGGCACCCAGCCTGTGCCCCGCTGGTGCAAGGCGCCTCGCGACCTCCGACGTGAGCTTCGGAGGGCAAGAGGACATGGTGCGGCCAGACTGGGCCAAGGGCAACGAGACCGGCACGGCTTCCGAACTCACCAGGGAGTTCCGCGTCGGCGACACGGTCAAGGTGAAGCCTGGCGCGAGCTATTGGGTGGACGGCAGGGAGCTCTTCAGGGCCGGCGACGAAGGCACGATCTCTGGCGTCGTCCCGGATGAGCAGGGCAAGGACAGCAGGGCCACCATCTTGTGGACGCGCAGCGGGGACAAGACGGTGGTGCAGCTCCACACCATGGCGAAGCGCTTCTCGCACGTGGAGAAGCGGGACACCACACTGCCCGCCATGCTGGTGGGCAGCACCACTTCTGGCTACGTGTTCGCGATCGACCTCGACAGCGGAGATGAGTTGTGGGCAACTTGGGCCTCGAACGAGATCGCTGGCGTCAAGGGGTCTGTGGCTTGCAAGGGCGGTATCGTAGTGGTCGCAACTGACCGCTGCACTGACCGTTACTGTTACAGGTACCGCAACCAGACCAACCCCCTCACGCCAGGCAATCAGTGGGTGCGTGGCCTGAGCGCTGCGGACGGCAGCTCTGTCTGGCAGTACAAGACGTTCCAGCCGACGTGGAGCATGATCCCTCTGTGGGGTCCCGGCACCAGCGTGATGTTCCAGGACTGGGAGGGCAGGGTGTACAGCCTGGACTACCTGACAGGCGCCGAGATATGCAGCTGCCTCGGGCAAGCCCCGCCACCATGCCAGCGCATCGTTGACATGCACGCGGGATGGCTCTGCCGGGCCCCTCTGGGCAGGCTCGGCAGAGGCGTGCTTCTGCGGGCTCCCCGCGGGGCCCTAGGACGCTCTTGGGCAATCTGGGGCGCAGCGGTTCCACCGAATCCTCCCCGTCGGCAGTGCCACGGTGTGGCTGCGTGCCGTGCCTGTGAGGTATCAGGTGTTGTTGCGCTGCCTCTGGGGAGATCCTTGGAGGCTTCTTGGGGGCTTCTTGGTGGCTTCTTGGGGCCTCCTCGGGGCCCTCTCGGTGGCGTCAGGTGCGCTCCTCCCTCCTCGGAGGCACCGCTGAGCCCCGTGAGTTGCATGGGGGTTTCTCTGGTTCCTGAGCGCGGGGGCCGCCCCAGACAGAAATCAGAGGGGCAAGTCGGCGGCGAGCGAGGGGGGGAAGTGAGAAGGAGAAGGCCTTCTGATCTGAGAAAGCGGCGGGACCCCTCGCGCGCCTTCTCAGAAGTGTCCCGCGCCCTTGGGGAAGGCTGAGAACGCTTCTCAGAAGGCCCGGGGGACCTCCGAGCCTCCTGGGAGAGGCCTCCTCCTCCCTCCTCCTCGCTTCCCCCCCCCCCTCCCCCGGGCTCGCCGCCGAGCGAGGCCAAGGCCACGGGAGCGGGCCCGACGCCGAGAGCGAGCGGGGCCCGGGCCCTCTGCAGACGGGCCCAGGTGGACCACCGGGGAGGGAGTCGACGCCCGAGGCAAGCGAAGTCTTGGGAATGCCTCGGCGAATGCTCCGGATGGCATGGTGATCGCCCCTCCCCCCCCCTCGGGTTCGGGGGGGGGGAGGGGCGCGTGCCGTCAGGGCGGGACTGGGAGGGGGGGGGATGGCAGTTTTGAAGCTCGAGTTCCTGGGCCAGGTGCGCGGGGGGGAGACTCTTGGACGCGCGCTGAGGGGCGGGGGGGGGGGACGGGGACGCTCCGTCGGAAGGTCAGTCGCCCCTCCCCGATTATTGTGCCATACGGAGTGCGGAGAACGCCGACGGGCAGGGCACCACAGTAACAAGTGGCACGCCTCCCACGGCTCTCTGACACGAGGGAGCGGCGAGGGTCCAGAGGAAGGGGCTGATGAAGAGCGGCTGCCTCCTGGAGCCATCGTTGGGCCTTAGGCCAGAAGGCAAGACAATCTGATTATCAGACTTGCGGGTATGATTTCGCTATTCCGACCAACCGACCGACCGACCGTGTTTCTGGCCCACCCTCCAGAACCACCCCCCCATGATCTCCCACCTCAGTCTCCCAGCATACCCCCTGAAGATGCCTTCAGAGACGGCCTACACTACAGCAGATTCCTACAACCCTCCGCGAAATCTAACGCAAGTTGTGCCCACCCCTCCTCGCCCCCCATTTTCACTGTTCAGCGACGCGCGCAACGCGGCCCGCGAGAAGAATTGGCACGGCGAAGGACCCAACCATATGCAGTTGTGAGTACCGCAATTGTGAATATTTTCTTCGGTGGCGCCCCCTATGGGGCCGCGAACCCTGTGAGCGGTGTGCCGACATGGGTGCGGCCGACGCATGCGGACGGTGGCGCTGGGGCCTTCGGTGGAGCTCCCTATAGGGCCACGAAACGTGTGAAGGGTGCCGAAATGAGTGTGGGGGACGCATGTGGACGGTGTCACTCTGGCCTTCGGTGGAGCTTCCTATGGGGCCACGAAGCGCGTGCGTGGTGTGCCGGGATGGGTGTGGGCGGTGGCACTGTGGCATTCGGTGGAGCTGTCTATGGGGCCACGACGCGTGTGAGGGGGCTGCCGAAATGGGTGCGGGGGGCGCATGTGGACGGTGGCACTGGGGCCTTCGGTGGAGCTCCCTATGGGGCCGCGACGCGTGTGAGGGGGTTGCCGAAATCGGTGTGGGAGACGCATGCGGGCGCAGACACTGGGGCCTTCGGTGGAGCTCCCTATGGGGCCACGCAACGTGTGAGAGGTGTGCCGAAATGGGTGTGTGAGGGGTGTGTCGAAATGGGCGTGGGGGACGCATGCGGGCGCAGCCACTGGGGCCTTCGGTTGAGTCCCCTATGGGGCCACGACGCGTGTGAAGGGGTGTGCCGAAATAGGTGTGGGGGACGCATGCGGGCGCAGCCACTGGGGCCTTCGGTGGAGTTCCCTGTGGGGCGAGAAAACGTGTGAGGGGTGTGCCGAAATAGGTGTGGGGGACGCATGCGGGCGCAGCCACTGGGGCCTTCGGTGGAGTTCCCTGTGGGGCGAGAAAACGTGTGAGGGGTGTGCCGAAATGGGTGCGGGGGACGCATATGGATGGTGGCGCTGGGGCCTTCGGTGGAGCTCCCGATCGGGCCACGAAGCGTGTGAGGGGTGTGCCGAAATGGGTGTTGGGGACGCATATGGACGGTGGCGCTGGGGCCTTCGGTGGAGCTTCCGATCTGGCCACGAAGCGTGTGAGGGGTGTGCCGAAATGGGCGTGGGGGACGCATGCGGGCGCAGCCACTGGGGTCTTTGGTGGAGCTCCCTATGGGGCCATGAAACGTGTGAGGGGTGTCCGAAATGGGTGTGAGGGGCGCATGTGGACGGTTGCACTGGGGCCTTCGGTGGAGCTCCCTATGGGGCCACGACGCGTGTGAGGGGTGCGCCGAAATGGGCGTGGGGGACGCACGCGGGCGCAGCCACTGGGGCCGTCGGTGGAGCGTCCTCAACGTGTGAGGGGTGTGCCGAAATGGGTATGGGGGACGCATGCTGGTGCAGCCACTAGGGCCTTCGGTGGAGCTCCCTATGAAACGTGTGAGGGGTGTGCCGAAATGGGTGTGAGGGACGCATGCGGGCGCAGCCACTGGGGCCGTCGGTGGAGCTCCCTAGGGGGCCACGAAACGTGTGAGGGGTGTGCCGAAATGGGTGTGGTGACGGGTGGAGGGATGAGGAGGGGAGGAGGAAGGAAGGAGGAACGCTGGGACTGTCTCGTCAAAACGAGGACCCAACACCACAGGAGGATGGTTGGGAAAAGTCGAGGTCGAACGTTCTAGCAAAGCATTGAAATTTGGGGTCCATGGTCGCCGCCACGTCGCGGGAAAATCGTGCGTTTGATTTCGCGGTGGGTTGTAGATGCCGAAAGGGCCACCAGGGTCGGTCGACGACAGGTCCGAGGATGGACCCCAAGAGGTCCAAATATGATTCAGGGAACGCCCCAGTGGATAAACGGCGCACACGCTCCTATGATTCTCGTGTGTGTTTGACATTGCCCCCTTTCCAGCTCAAAGTGGCAGCCAGTCGGGACCCAGAGGCTGCCAATGGTGGTTCTACCCCCCCCCGCCTGGTCCATCGTGAAAAGAGGGGGTCATTGCCGGTTCGACACCCCCCCCTCCTCGCCGCCTGCAAACGACTCTCCCTCCTCCCCCACTCCGGATGGCGGATTGTGCAGTGGTTAGGACGGTGGGGGGGATGGTGGTGGGGAGTGGGGACAGTGGGACAGTGGTGGGGACAGTGGGGGGAGTGGGACCGTGGTGGGGGCAGTGGTGGAGACAGTGGGGACAGTGGGCCAGTGGCGAGGGCACTGGTGGGGACAGTGGGGACAGTGGTGGGGACAGTGGGGACAGTGGTGGGGACAGTCGGACAATGGGACAGTGGTGGGGACGGTGGTGGTGGGGACAGTGGTGAGGGGACAGTGGGACAGTGGTGGGGACAGTGGGGACAGTGCGACAGTGGTGGGGACGGTGGTGGTGGGGACAGTGGTGAGGGCGGTGGTGAGGACAGTGGTGAGACAATGGGACATTGGTACAGTGAGGACAGTGGTGGGGACAGTGGGGACAGTGGGACAGCGGTGGGAACAGTGTGGACAGTGGGACAGCACAGTGAGACAGCGGCGGGGACAGTGGGGACAGTGAGACAGTGGTGGGGACAGTGGTGGTGACAGTGAAACAGTGGTGAGGACAGTAGGGACAGTGGAGAGAGTGGGATCGTGGTGGGGACAGTGGTGGGGACACTGGGGACAGTGCGACAGTGGTGGGGCACTGGTGGGGACAGTGGGGACAGTGGTGGGAACTGAGGGAACTGAGGGAGTCGTGGGTGCAGTGGGGACCGTGGGTCAGTGGTGGGACGGCGGTGGTAGGGACAGTGGTGAGGGGAGAATGAGACAATGGTGGGGACAGTCGGGACAGTGGTGGGGCAGTGGAGGGGACGGTGGTGGTGGGGACAGTGGTGAGGGCGGTGGTGAGGACGGTGGTGGGACAATACGACAGTGGTACAGTGGGGACAGTGGTGGGGGCAGTGGGGACAGTGAGACAGTGGTGGGATCAGTGGGGACAGTAGGACAGCACGGTGGGACAGCGGTGGGGATAGTGGTGACAGTGGGACAGTGGTGGGGACAATTCTGGTGGGGACAGTGGTGGGGACAGTGGTGGGGACAGTGGGGACAGTGCGACAGTGGCGGGGGCGGCGGGGACAGTGTGGACAGTGGTGGACACAGTGGGGACGGTGGGGGAGTGGTGAGTGCAGTGGGGACTGGGACAGTGGTGGGGACAGTGGTGAGGGGACAGTGGGGCAGTGGTGTGGACAGTGGGGACAGTGGGACAGTGGTGGGGATGGTGGTGTTGGGGACAGTGGCGAGGGCGGTGGTGAGGACGGTGGTGGGACAATGGGACAGTGGTACAGTGGGGACAGTGGCGGGGACAGTGGGACAGTGGTGGGGACAGTGGTGACAGTGGGACAGCACAGTGGGACAGCGGTGGGGACTGTGGACAGTGGGACAGTCGTGGGGACAGTGGGACAGTGGGAAAGTGGTGGGGACAGTGGGGGCAGTGGGGAAAGTGGGGCAGTGGTGGGGACAGTGGTGGGGACAGTGGTGACAGTGCGACAGTTGTGGGGGCACTGGTGGGGACAGTGGCGGGAACAGTGGGGATAGCGGGACACTGGTGGTGACAGTGGGGACCGTGGGTCAGTGGTGGGGACGCTGGTGGTGGGGACAGTGGTGAGGGCGGTGGTGAGGACGGTGGTGGGGACCCGCGAGTCGTTTGGTGTGGGTCTGGGTGTGGGTGTGGGTGTGGTGTGGTTGTTGTTGTGTGTGTTGTGGCCGTGTGCTGCAGGAAGGCTCTGCGTGCTATTTATCCTCCTGTGTCTTGTGCAGGACCGGCCCCATACGGGCCATGATGGCCCCCGAGCTAGCCCCTTGGGATGGGCAGGTGACGGCCGAAGACTGCCCCAAAAGCTGCCCTCGGACGGCCCCGCGGGCCCTCCAGAGCGGCCACGGCAGGCCTGAACAGGGCCATGACGAGAAGCCCAAGAGGCCCCCACGAGACTCCAAGGTGACACAATGTGGTCCCAAGGACCCAGAGGTCCTCCTCCTCCTCCTCCTCCTCCTCCTCCTCCGCGCCGCCTTGCTTCCTCACTCGCCTGGTGCTCGAGTTTGTCACGATATTGTGGCAGCCACTCTGCGCTCCAAAAAGGGCACACCTATGCAGCGAGGGTGTAATGCCACTTGGACTAGGATGAGAGCTACCGAAGCTGGATAGGGGGTCGACACGACGTGCGACCTTTGCGGTGTTGCGGCCGATACCATGCTTCATCGGCTCTGGTTCTGCTCCGCGTGCCATGACAAGAGACAGGAAGTGTTTGACAGTTTCAAGGAGAGGTTTACCCTCATGCCCCCGCCCGACCTGACCCGTGACAAGGATGAGGAGGATTTCCTGTTGTTCACCAGAGGTGTTTTTCGGCATCCTGGAGATGTTTTTTCCCGTTCCTGCTCGGGACGACGTTGAGGATACTGGTCTTGAGGTTATATGGGCCCGCGACCGCTCCTGCAGGTCCCTCGATATCTCTGGGCACATATTTGTCGATGGGTCGTGCGCCACTCATACCGTCAAAGAACTCTCCAGGGCTGGGTGGGGAATCGTGGTTGTAGGGGATGACGGCGACGAGGTTTGCCGCATCAGTTGTCCCTTGTGGGCCCCCAACCTCCAAACTGCCCAGGGGGGGAATTTGGGGCCTACGCTGTTGCTGCGATGCACGGTTTGCCTGGGAGCTCCATCTACTCGGATTGTAAAAAACGTAGTGCTTCAAGCGAACGAACCTCTGATACGGGCCCTGTCTTATAAGCGTGTGTACTCTGGTTTTCTGCTCCCCACCCATCGGAAGTTGGTCGAGGGAGTTTTCAAGGTCAAGGCCCATGTGGAAGAATCTAGGGACCTTTTCAGAGTTGGAACGATTCTGGAAGCTGGGCAACGACCTAGCTGACAGCGTTGCCAAACATTCACTCGTCAGGCACCCGCAACCCGACCCGTGCGATGTCGTATGGCTTGATCGGTGCCTGTCTATCGCGAAGTGTGTTCTGCGCCTTTCCGCTGAGTTTATGCCAATGTGGCCCAGGCTCGACCTAAAAGGCGTCCCTTTGGTCCCTAAGCCCCCGAAACCCAAGCTGGATCCCTAGCCTCATCGATGGGTTCGGGTTTCCGATGTTTGGCAGTGCTCCGAGTGTCTCAAAGTAGCCAAGGGAGTGCCGCGCTTTAGTCCTCCTGGCGAAGGGAAGCGCGGAGGCCTAGACCCACCGCTCCCTGGCAAGTGTTTCAGAGATTCCAAGCTTGAGGCGGCGACCCTGCGAGCCCTCCAGCACACTTGTATTGCCTTGCCTTGCTCGGACGGGGCTGCGCTTACCATCTGTATGCGATGCTATGCCTATTCTTCCCATGGGCTGCCGCGCAATTTACTTAAGAAGTGTGATGGCTGTCCCCAGAGTGCTGGGGCCAAATCAGCCTGGATTTCTGTGGGCACCGGTAAGCACCCCAAGCGGCGAGGCGTTTCTGTCGAGGTCGGTCCCTGGTATCGCGACCAGGACGCAGAGGAGCTGCCGCGGTGCCTCGCCGACCTTGAAAAGGAGGTGCGCGCTGCCAGTCTTGCGCGTAGGCTTATTGTTGCCGCTGGGGGAACGCCAGGCCCACCACCAGCCGCCCCAATGGAGGTTGAGCCCCCCTTGGCACAGGCTGCGCAGAAGCAGGGAGATCGGGTCGTCATCACTCCGTAGTCGTCGAGTACCAAGCCTGCCCCTGTGCATGTGACAGTGGTTTCTGACCCGATAGAAGTGGAGGAAGAAGCTTCTCCTGACAGACTCAGCTGTTTGAAGCCTGTCCCCCCTGCGTTGGAGCGGAAGACGGTGTGTCCTTGATCGCTCCGCCCAGTTGGCCATAGGGCCGTATCTAGAGGGCCCGTCACGGGGGTTCTGGTTCGTCGGTTGAGTCCGGCCCACACCAGGGACGGAGCTTGCTATCGTCCTGGCGTTCGTTACACCAGGGGTAGTGCAGCCGAGTCGTCCTGGCGTCGCCTTGTGATTTGTCGTGCTTGTGCGTGTGCGCGTCTGCTCGCGCGTCAGGCACCCCAGTTGTGGGGGAAGGTGCGCAGCGCGAGTGTTGCGTTCTCGAACTGTTCCATGGGTTTGGCACGGGGTTGGAGCTCCGCCCCGACCGTTGCCCTGCCTGGTCTTTCGTTTTACCAGGCTCTGCTGTTTGAAGCCTTTGCTCCCCGCGTTGGAGCGGGAGACGGTGGGTCCTTGATCGCTCCGCCCAGTTGGCCAGTGGGCCGCATCTGGAGGGCCCGTCACGGGGGCACTGGCTCGACGGTTTGAGTCAGGCCCACACCAGGGGCGTAGCTGGCTGCCGTCCTGGCGTTTCAGCACGCCAGGGGTAGTTCAGCCGAGTCGTCCTGGCGTCGCCTTGTTTGTTTGTTGTGCGTGTGCGTGTGCGCGTTTGCTCGTGCGTCAGGCACCCCAGTTGTGGGGGAAGGTGCGCAGCACGAGTGTTGCGTTGCTCGACTCGGGCCTGGCACGGGGCCTCCTCGCCCCGACCGTTGCCTTGCCCAGTTTCCAGTTTCGGCTTCGTCCTGGCTTCGTTGCACCAGGGGCGCGTGTTTTCTCGCGGGTGCGCCGTGTGTGTTTTGCTCGCACGTGCGTCAGGCACCCCAATTGTGGGGGAAGGTGCGCTGCACGTGTGGGCGGATTGTGCCTTGGCACGGGGGCGGAGGTTGTCGCCCTGACCTCTTCCCCTTTTTTCCTCGTTTGGGGGGTGGTTTCCCTGTTGCACGGCCAGTGGCCCTCGCGGGCCCTGGCGACCGTTGTGCAGGTGAAGTCAGCGGGGGTCTCTCCCACTCCCCTTCCGCTCAGAGCGGTGGGGGCAGCCTCCCTGGGCGCAATGCCGCCCAGGATGGTTGTTGGCGCGCGTCGGTCACGCCCCAACCCTCGAAGAGGGAGGAGCCCCACGCGTCGCCCCATCTGTGGCGCAGTCCGACGACTCGGACTAAGAGATGCGCCTCAGGCTTCCCTGCCCGAGGAGCGTTTCGGCCTCGACCTCACTTCTTATCAGGTCTTGGCCTTTGGGGGGCGGGCGGCTAGCCACAGGGGATCCTCCCCGTTGCGGGAAATCGCCCCGTGGCTGTCTCGCCCGCGCCCCCATTGCCTTTTTTTAATACTGCTTGCTGGCCTGCCTTCATCCAGGCCAGGGAGCAGGTGGCGACGGCGGATCCGTCGTCTGTTGGTCACGGTTGATGTCAAAAAAAATCTTTTTCTTCCTCCTCCGTAGACCCAGAGTTCCAGCGCCCCAGCAAACATTGGAGCGGCGGGTTTTTGGCTGTTTTCGGCCTCTGGGGGCCCTCGCCGGGCCTCGGGACCGCCAAAAAATTACCCAGGACGAAAAAGCGGTGCCAGGGAAGTGGTCCAGATCTTCGGGCTTGCGCATCGAAAAATTTGGAGCGGCCAGATGCTTGGGGACTCCTCCTCCTCCTCCTCCTCCTCCTCTTCCTCCTCCTTCTCCTCGTCATCCTTCCTTCTCCTTTTCCTCATCACCATCATCCTCCTCCCGCTCTGTTTAGCCAGCGCATCGTTTCATCGACTTCCGCTTGTGGTTGCTTGATTTCGTTGTCTTGCCCACGGGCAGGACGGCGCATGATTTGGGATCGGAGGGCTCGCCCTGGGCCATCTTCGGACATTTCAGGGGCACGTTTGGCGTCTCCGGGCCTGGTTGTGGGGCATCCCGCAGTCGCCCTGGGACGTCCGTGGGCCGTCCTGAGTCTGTGTGCAGCATGTTTTGTTGGTGCTCGGCCTGGAGGAGCGCGAACTTGCTGTTGCTCGGCTTGTTGTTGCTCGGTTGACATGTGTGTTCTTTGTTGTTGCTCGGTTTTCGAAGCGTGGATCTGGCGAGGGGTGGTCGCCCTTGAAAGATGCAGGGAGCCTTGCCGGACAGCCTGACGGCGTTCTCACTCGCACCAACGTCCCATTGGCACGGTGGCGGATTCAAGGTCGGCGGAGACATCGGGACGCACACCAATGCAGCCGCCGTGTACAGCGCGGGCCACGACACAGTCATTGCTTTGGGCGTGAAGCACTACACCAATGGCCGTTGCAATCCTTACCCAGCTCCCGGTATCCTCCCATCATGCTGGACGTGGCCAGGCACGCGGGGCTTCATCCGCGGCTACAACGCCTCCTCTGGCAGGAAGGTCTGGGAGACGGAGACGCCGGAGCCGCCGGCCAGCGCCAGCATCAGCGCGCTCAACAGCCCCTCATTCCACACCCGCCTGGTGGTCGCCATGGGCCGGGGTCTGAATGGGATCGTGATCCGTCGATCGGGGCCCAATCGGACCACCGATCTGGCCGATCCGTCGAGCGATCGGGGCAGTCGATCAGCGCCCTCCATCGGGGAGGCCATCCGCCCGCGAGGATGGTTTGGCCCAGCCAGGTCAGGCTCAGGATTCAGGCCGCGGATCCGTCGAAGATCGTGATCCGTCGAGCAGGGCGTGGTCGGGCCAGCGACCTGGTCGACCCGCCGAGCCGGAACAGTCGACCAGGCCCCTGGGTCGGAGGGGTGCTTCTGCTCCTTGGAATAGAAGGGCCCGGTCAGGCTCAGGGTCAGGATCCGGGCCGTGGATCAGCCCTCGCACCAGGGGTGGACCTGAACGGTGTTTTGGCGATTTCGTGGGCGGTTTTCGTTTCGACTTCGTTTTGCGGTGCAGGCGGGTTGAAGACAAAGCGAGGGCAAACGAAACAAATCGAGAACGAAAAACACCGTTTAAGTTCAACCCTCCCTCACACTGCCAGGGTGCTTCCGGGCGAGAGAGGAGGGGGGCGACGCGCGAGGGAGGCGACGCGCCAGGGCGGCCTGTGGTGGGGGCCACCAGCTTGTTCGGATCTCCTTCGCCCCGAGCAGGTCAAGACAGTCAAGCGGGACTGAAGCACTCTGATGCAGGCATGTTGTCAGTAATTATCGGGCGGAGGTTTTGTCTCCTGCGGGACTCTTCTGAGCTTCAGTTGGGCACGTATTCCTATAGGAGAAAGATTCGCAAAGTGTCCAAATAAATAGTCGGGGGACGATTTTTTGATTATGTTTGACTATTTCTGAAGATGTTTGACTATTTTCCATCATTGCTTCAAAATCCGCCTGTAGGAGGACATGCCCGACCTAATTCTAAGCCAGACTTATTACTGATCATGTGCACGAAAAGGCATGGAACCAGAAGTTGTCATGGGACAACGCATTTCCTCCCCGCCCCCCTTCGCGGTCCCGTTCAGGCGCTGACACGCGCTCGTGCGACTTCCGAAATGTTTCGCGCGCCGATCCGAGAATTCTGCGCGGCGCCCGACGCCGGGCGAAGTGTGTGGCCATGGCGCAGAGCCAGCGACTTGCAACCGCTGCCGCCCCATGCTCGCGCCCAAGGGGCGCCGCAGAGGGGCGCTCTGGCTCGGGTTCAGGAGGATGAGGAGGATGAGGAGGAGGGGCTTGACAAGAGTAAACCCAAGACGCATCAACGCTGGGAGGAAGGGGGCACGGGCGGGAGGGAGCGGGAGGAGCAGGAGGGAGGGCCGGGGTATCTTCGAGCTCCGAGGCCACAACTGCTACCTCGGCGCCTCCAGCCAGATCTGGGGCCTCGACCCAAACAACGGCCACACCCGGTGGATAAAGGAGGGCCCGACGCTGTGGACCGGCTTCTGTGCTGGCGACAAGGTCCTCCTCCTCCTCATCCTCCTCTTCCTCCTCCTCCTCCTCCGCATTCTCCTCATCCTCTCCTTCCGCATCCGCTTTGCTCATCCTGCTCATCGCCAGGAGGGGGCAGACATCCGCCGGGCCATGGGCGGCCGCGAAAAGTGCCATCCGAACAGCTGGTCCATGCCGGTGGCTGATTCGACCGGCGACCTCTACATTGGCAACCAGGTGGTGGTCGGTGCTGCTGCTGATGCTGCTTCTCCTTCTCCTTCTCCTATCATCCCTCTCGTCCACCTCCGTGCGTAAGCAATCAGGTTGGCGAGCTGATGAGGTACGGTTTAGATCCCCACTCAACGTCCACGAGGCCCGAATTGCTCTCGACCCTGACGACCGGTGTGGCTTTCCAGGATTCAGCGATCGCATTCGGCACGGGTGTTATGGCCGTGACCACCTGCACCTCGCTCATTGTCTTCCACACTATGGATGATTGGCAGAAGGCGACTTGGTCAGTTTCGCACAGCGAGTACTCACCGATTTCCGACAAGGTCCACGGCGAAGATTTGTCGCACGAGATCTCGGAGGAAAGTCACGGGAACATCGCGGTCACCCCGAAAGTGGATTCGGACGACATTTGGTCTAACGATGAGCCCGTCTATGACCCGAACATTGACGGCGGATCGTCGGCTTACCACCGGCAGGCTAAACAGCAGGATCATGCCCTCTCGTACTGAACGTGGTTTGCGAGGTGAATTGGAATTATTTCAGTTTCCCCAGGTTTTGCGACACCCTAGCAGCTTCCACGGAGCTTGCTCAGCTTTTACCCTTCCGCGCGAGTGTCAAGGAGGGGGTCGCGCAGACAGGGCCAGACCCTTGCATGTTCAGCTCATCCCGCCACGCGCATTTGTCGTGCTGCGTTGAGCTGCGCAGTCGACTTCGAAGATTTCTCCTGTGAAAAGACGAGCACCTCGCCTCCGACCCCTCCGCCTCCCGCCTGCCGTCGTTGGCCCTGCCCCCCTCGCCTCGCCCCGGCGGCGCGCCTCTGGGGCCGGGCCCTCTCGAGCGGGCGCAGAAGGCCTCCAGCCTTGCGAGAAGCCCCCGAAGCCTCCTCCGAAGCTAAGTACAGACCCCGACGTTCGATGTCTTTGTTTTTGTTCAAAACGCGACCCCCGCAAGTTCCGACCCCTCGCCCTGGGGTCCGTTGTCCCTCCTGGGCAACTTTTTGGCGGCCGCGGGGCCCGGCGAGGGCCCCCAGGGGCCGAACACAACGAGGAACCGCCCGTCATGATGGTGCTCACGACGCGAGTGTGTCTTGGGAGGGCTTCTCAGAATCGGCGGCGAGCTCGGGGGGGAAGTGAGAAGGGGCGGGCCTTCTCGGGTGGCTCGGAAGCCTCACGGCCTTCTGAGAAGGTGTCTGAGTCTAAGCCTTCCCTGGAGACGCAGAGCACTTCTCAGAAGGCTGGAGGGCCTCTTAGGGAGGGGACAGCGCGACTGTGGCGCCCTGACAATTCGAAAATGAAAAAATGCCACAAGCAACGAAATGCAGACGGAGGAGGGCTTCTCGGCAGGGAGCTTCCGGGAAGCCCCGCAGTCCCGCTGCCCCCAGCGAGAGAAGGCCTGCCCCCCGCCGATCCCTCCCCCACCCCCTCCGCTGCTCCCCCCCACCTCCCCCCCCTCTGCTGGCGGCCCCCTGAGGCGCCCCTGCGCGTCGCTCCACGCCAGCATGGAGCATGGGGACCCCGGAGATACAATGTGGCCCCAAGGAGCAAGGACCCAGAGATCCCTCCTCCTCATCCTCCTCCTCCTCCTCCTCCTCCACCACAATTACTCAATATGAATACTACTCTCCCTCTTCCCCTGATGGCGTCCAGGGAGTAGTAGACCCCCCCCCGCGTATTGTTTTTTACACACAGGATTCCCGGGAGTTGGGTTTTCGCCTGCGTTTTTTTCAAAATGCTGCTCTCGCTGAGGCGCCGGCCTCATTTCTGCTCCCGAATCGTTCCGAATCGTGCTCCCGCTGCAGCGTGGGCCTCATTTTCGGATCGGTGTTTGGCCTCCGTCGTTCAGGATGGCGTTCTCGCCCAGCGCGGGCCTCTTTCTCGCGCGCCCATCCGCCCGCCACCACCGCGCCGCACCGCCACCACCACCACCACCACCACCACCACCACCACCACCACCACCACCACCACCACCACCACCACCACCACCACCACCACCACCACCACCACCACCACCACCACCACCACCACCACCGCCACGACAACCACGCACACACGCACGCACGCACGCACGCACGTGCACCACCACCCACTACGCACGCGCGCGCGGAGCCACAGGTCCGCTACGACACGCGTCCGCGGATAGAGAAAATCAGCGCCATGGTAAGGGATGGGAGGGAGGGGTAGGACGTCAGATATGACGCGAGCGCACCTAGCTTGTCCTCCTCCCCCTCTCCTCCCCCTCCCCCTCCTCCTCCCCTCCTCCTCCTCCTCCTCTCCTCTCCTCCTCCTCCTCCTCCTCCTTCTCCTCCTCCTCCTCTTCCTCCTCCTCCTATTCCTCCACCCTTCTCCTCCTCCCTCCTCCTCCTCCTCCTCCTCCCTCCTCCCTCCTCCCTCCTCCTCCTCCTCCTCCTCCTCCTCCTCCTCCTCCTCCTCCTCCTCCTCCTCCTCCATTTGCAGTTTTCGGCCCCGGGGAGCCCTCGCCGGGCCTCGGGGCCACCAAAAAACGGCCCCAAGGGCCCTCCAGAGCGGCCACGGCATGCCTGAACATGGCCACCACGAGGAGCCCAAGAGGCCCCCACGAGACTCCAAGATGATTCAATGTGGTCCCAAGGACCCAGAGATCCTCCTCCACCTCCTCTTCCTCCTTCTCCTCCTCCTCCTCCTTCTCCTCCTCCTCCTCCTCCTCCTCCTCCTATTCTTTTTCCGCAGAACCAGAGGTCCGACGCTCCAAAAAGATTGGAGCGACGGGTTTTTGGCCGTTTTCGGCCTTGGTGGGCCCTCCCCGGGCCCCGGGGCCGTCAAGGAATGACTCAGGACGAAAAGCCGGGGCCGGAGGTGTAGGGGCGCTCCTGACATCTCGATGGGATGTATCTCTCTCTCTCTCTCTCTTTTCCGAGAGTGTGATAGGCTCGGGGCAGACAGGGGGGGGGCGCACCCAGACATGCGTTACGGTCGGACCGAGATATATGTTGATCGAGGGCGGCTCGGGGAGCGCACCCTGATACTCTTCGCGCCCGTTGGTTTGTTCTTGTGCATCCTGGGGGGGAGTACCCTCGAGTGTTCTTCAGGTTGGCCGGCGGAGGGTCGCATGTTCGTGAAGGATGTTCTTCTGTCTCAGGTCCGGCCGTACCCTGATCTGTTAAATGTGGTGTCCCCGAAAGGTTCCAACCCCTCCCAGGGTCGATGTCTCCACGTGAAGCGACGCCCAAAAGTTACACATTGAGTTGTCCAAGACGTTGCATCTCCAGGCATGCACCACTCCAGCGGCCCAAGGATGGCCCTGGGCAGACGTGGCCTTGGCATCGCCTGGACGAGTGCATTTTTGTTTGTCGAGGGGGGCCATCGAGGAGCACGCGAGTCACCTTGCGAACGGGGAACGGACGTCCGAGCGATGGCAAGTGGCGGTGGCGCACAGATGCCCTCTGCGCCCAGGAGCCCGCTTTCGAGTAGTGAGCTCCTGCACCGTGGGGGTCGGGGGCGCGCCGCCCAGCTCTTCCCGCCGAGCTTCGGCGCTGGCGACCGCGCGGCGGCCCCTTTGCCGGGCGTGGCTAGAGGAGTGCGCCCGTCGGGTATGTAGCCAGCACCCCAGCTATAAGCTATTTCCTGGGACCCCACACTGAAGCGATGAAGACCTCGGATGCTTGCGACTTTGACATTTCACCAGGATTCGAAGGTGCGAGGCTCGAGTATGAGGTTCGAGATCCGAGGTTCGAGCATGAGGTTCAAGGCGTCAGAGGTTCCAGATTCGAGACCCTCGCCTCCACTGTTCAGGAGCGAAAGAAGGACGTACACGTACATGAATCCACGTTTGGTTTCGAGAGTGTGCTTTGCGCGAATGTTCGTATCACGCGGACGGTCTCGCGGATCGAAGGGCCGCGTTCATGTACATGGCTGGGCGCGTACGTCCTTTGTGGCTCCCTATAAGGGGACCCGGTTAGTAGTGGGGCTCCGGAGCCCCTACATTGGCCAGAATCGCTAGACCAGGTCTGCCGCAGCTGGTGTTTTTGTCGGGCGACGGCAGTTCCGGTCAGTGGAACGGGGCGTGGCGGGCGCCCCCCAGCACACATCAGTAAACCAGGTCCCACGAAACCCAATTCTGCCAACGCCCGATCTTAGCCCAGGGTGCCCCCAGGATTTGGGAGGAGGCCCCCACGGCCTCCAGAGCACCGCACCCTTCGCGAGGCCCAGAGGGCCCCAGGGGCTCCAAAAGAAGCGCGAAGCTGGGGGCGCCTTGGGCCAGGGGCACCTTTAGCAACCCCCGACCTTCATACTCGACCAGTGAGCCCACGTGAGGCGTTCCAGAAAGGGCCTCGCCTTCGAGGATCGAAGGGGTTGCCACCTCGTCCTCGGCGGACGGGCGGCGGAAGCAAGACGAGGGCGTCTCCGCCGTCGGAAGGCCGAGCGAGGTCGGCGGGAGCCGGCGGGAGTAGAAGGTGTGCCCCCCAGGAGACGGCAGCGTGTGTGGGTTCAGGGCGGCCTCGCTCCTCTCCCCCCCTCCTTCGGCCTCTTTTTCTGTCCCGTCCCCTTCTCCTTGCTTTGTGGCACGACTCGCTACAAAGGTGCCCCCGTCTAGTTGGCTCCCCGCCAGCGCAATAACTCTGCTCAGCCGCCGACGCAGGGAAGTATGTGGCTTCCGGGTTTCCGGGGGCCCGCCTCGTGCTGGATGGAAGGCGCGGGTGGCGGTGGCGGCGGCAACGAGGGCGGCGCACGAAGCCGCTGGCGGTGATGGCGGCGGCGGAGACGGCAGGCGGCGGCGGCGGCCAGAGGTAAACGACGGTCAACGGCGACGACGCTGGCGAGCCGCTTCCCTGCAACTCCAGGGAAGCGCGCGGGCTTGGCGGGCGGGGTTCGCAGGCTACCATGCGGCGAGGGGGGAGGGAGGGGCAGGGCACCCTACACTCTTGGATTTGGTCACAGAAGCTGATCCCGGGGTGTGGTCCCGGGTGCAGCTTCGGCAGAGGACTTTTTCAAACGAGCGGTGTCGGGCGGTTTCTGCTGCTTCCGCGTTCCGTTCCAATCCAGCATCCGAATCGTGATTATTGCTCGAGGTTTCCCGATGAACCGATTGGTATTTGCTGGAATCCCCGCCGGGTCCACTGCGGTATTCGCAGGTCCCCGCGCGTTCCCCGCCGTGCAAAGGCGATTGTCCTGCCCAGTAAGGTACCACTTCCAACGTCATCTAAACCGCCGTCATCATCACCAACGTATCGCTGTCACCAACGTCTGCTCCGCCAAGGCGATAACTACGACAGTTGGTAGGAACCCAGGAGCGCAAACCAAACATCGAAGGATGCACTCTCTCCCGCCTGGGGAGGTGGCATTCCATGGCGGGGCCCTCCGTGGCCGTCGCGAGGGGAGGAGGGAAAACAGCAGCTTGAAGCATGCGCAGGGGTGGAGGTTGTTGTGGAGTCACCCCAGGGCAGTTGAGCGACGCAACAAAAAAAATCGGGGTCGTCTGCGCCGACATGGGCGCGCAAGCTGCCCGCGTGAGCTCGCGCGTGAGCGCCCTCGTCTTCAATGTGGCGTGCCGCGCTGGTGGCCCGCGTAAGCCGCCTCGCAAGGTCGCCGTGCCATCTCGCGTATTAAGTTGTTGATCGGCGCTCAGTTGGAAAACCTGAAAGATCTCCCCCTCGGAGTCGGAGGGGCCCTCTTCCTCCGCGTCCTCGGGGGGGCACCTCGTGGCCCTCGTGGCCTCGCCCAATGGCTTGAGCACCCAGGATACCATCCTCGACGAGGCCGAAGGCCTCGAGCACCTGAGCGCAGGGCGGGGGGGGGGAGGGAGGGAGGAGGACCCGGAGGAGGGGAAACGGGAAGCGGGGGGGCGGATGGCGCTCGCGCCTGCTCCTCGAACCCCTCACGCGGTGGGGCGCTGGCGAGCGCCGGTGGACGCGACGAGCTCCGCTCAGCGCGCCAGGGGCGAACGGCCCAGGGGCGGGCATGACACGCATTCGCTCGGGAGCCTCGCCGAAGGCATGGAACACCGGCGCCCCTGGATACATGGATTGTGTATTGCTCTCCTCTAGGGGGCGAATACGCCAGCTGGCGTATTCGCCCCCGTCGTCGCGCCCCCGAAGGGGAGCAGGAGCATGGAGGGGTCGGAGTCAGAGGACGAGAAGGTACCCATACCGCTACCCATGGCCCGTTTTCCCATTTTCTGGCCTCTTGGGTAGCTCTCGTCGCCACCGTTGGATTCGCCTCGAAATTCTGGTCAGGACGCACCCCAGGAGACGCCGAGGGAGCAGCAGGAAGGGGAGGAAGAGTATGTGGGAGGAGGGGGGGGCAGGAAGAGTATGTGGGAGGAGGGGGGGGCAGGAGAAGGGGAGGAGCAGGACCAGGAGGAGGGAGGGAACCAGGAGCGAGGAGCGAGAAGGAGGAGGGACCATCGCACGGCCTCGGGAAGGGTTCGACTTCGCCATGGCGATTCAAGCGCTTGAACGGCAGCACTTTTGGGCTGCTTGCCTGATGGGGATCGGGGCTTGGCACGCCACTTGGCTCCTTTTTGAGCTCGTAGGGTGTCGCCCGCTGCAAGAGGAAGGAGAAATGAGGATCCCTCAGGAAGAAGGCGACCCCCGTTTCCCCCCCCCCCCCCCCAACAAAAAAAAACAAAAAAACAAAAAAGTGAGATCACCCGCGGCCCAACCTGCCACAGGAGCTCCACGTGCACGGCGTGAGGGGCGACGAGCGCTGCGACGCCCGCGGCGGGCGGGGCGGCGAGCGCGGGCAGGACCGCGGGCACTTTTCGGCCCTTCTCCGCTGGCGGCACCGCCATTTGTGTTCGTTTTCTTATTCGTTGTCTTGCCGATCGGCGCGTGCCCTCGCACCCCCCCCCCCTCCCCCCCCCCCCGTGGAGTAGATCTTGGCTGTTTTGGGCGCCTGTTTCGAGCAGGTGGGGTCTCCCCCGCAGCACCAGTCGCGCTAAGCAGAGGTCTGGAGCCAGATCCCCCCTGGGGGCGGACCGTCCTGGGGTCATCTTTGGCCGTATGGAGGCCTCTTGGGCCGTCTTGGGGCCCTCTTGGGCCGTCTTGGAGCCCTCTTGGAGGCATGTTGGGCCATCCTAGGGCGATCTTGGAGACGTCTTGGGCCGTCTTGGAGCGCCGGGAAGCCTCCAAGAGGCGTCTGGAGACGCCTCTTGGAAGCTTCCTTGGGCGTCTTGGAAGCGTCTGCAGCTGTCTGGAAGCTATATTGGGTGCCTGGGACCGATCGGTCCGCGACTCGAAGCCCTGTCGGGCCATCTTGGGGGCCTCTTCAGGCCCTCTTGGAGCGCTCTGGGAGGTTGAAAGGCCGCACACAGGAGGAAAACCATCTCTGACCCGAGTGTCCCGGGGATCGCGCGGGGTACTTTTCGTCCGGGGACCCCCTGGGACCGCCCCGCGCCCGCGAACTAGAATTACACTGTGCACCAGTAGCCAGAGATCTTAGCACGCCTCTGGCCCTTTGGGCTGGCGAATTTCGCGGCGCCTCATGTTTCTTCTGTTCTTTCAGTTCACTCCCCGGCCTGGGCCCCCCTCTTCGGGGGACGCGAGCGGGGACGCAGGCACCCAGGCATCGAGCGTCTTGGGGGCTCCCGCGGGTTTTCGCGGCCCTCGGGTGTGTTCTCGTTTCGGGATGCTTGTTCAGCGGCTGCGCCTCGCCGGGATTGGGATGGCTGGGGCCTGGATCTCCCAGATCGCCCGCTGGATACTTGAGTTATGGCCCGAAAGCCAGGCATCCAGCGTTTTGAACAGCTTGAGATTTGGTCGGGAACTTTTGGATAGCGTGTCGCCACGCCTCGGCGAGACACGCTATTCACGGCCCCGTCCCCAGGTGTCCAAGTCACAAGCTTTCCCGAGCCCCTGCCCCGCGGAGCGGAGCGGCACGCTATCCGTTCGCAGTGCACGGCGTGTTGCCGGGTCCGCCGCCGCGGGGCGCTAAGCAAGAGTTCCCGACCGTAGAAGTTGCCCCCGATTTCGGCCCTTGGGGGCCCTTGCTGGGCCCCAGGGTCGTCAAACAATCACTCGGGATGAACAGCCGCTCGAGGTGGCGTCAAAGAAGAACGGGGGAGTATGGGGTGGCGGTTTGAAGGGCGTTCTTCCAGCGGGCGGGATGGTCGTGTCGGCGGCGGCGGTTTTGACTGCGTGGTGTGGCGGGTCGACATGGGCGCGCGTGGGGGGGTTGCGCGCGTGCGCGCGCCCGCCACGCGCACAAGCGTCGCGCGGGCTTGTGCCTGGCGCCAGGCACCACATATGTTGTCCTTCTCTGGGGGAGCTTCCACATACAGAGTCTTTGGGAGGTGCCTTCCCGGGGGGTCGGAAGTGGCAGCGACAAAAGGCTGCCGGGGGGACTGGCATGATCCTTGTCTTGGTTTGTTCCACCCCCCGCCCACGGCGCCAACTGCCAGACCACTGTTCTCTCACGGTTGCTCATTCCTGATTGGTCATTGATCAGTTGGAGGGGATGGAACACATCTGCCAGGGGGGCCGCGGGGGGTGGTCCAGAGTTTGTTTTGTTGTTTGCTTGCCTTTCCCTCCCCCCAGCCCCAGTGCGCCAGCTGCCTGACCGCCGCATGCTCACCGCTGCTCCTCGCTGGCCGATTACGGATTGGTCGCATGTTGAAATGTCCTTGCTGCCCCGTGCTGCTCGTTGATTGCGCGCACTGCTTCCCCTTGCCTGTCCACTGCTGATCGGTGTTGATGGGCGTGTTTTCCACCACCACCACCAAGTTAGAGGGTGGAAGGAGGAGGAGAACGAGGAGGAGGAGGAGGAGAAGGAGGAGGAGGAAGAGGAGGAGGAGGAGGAGTACCCCCTCCAACTTATGGTAGTGGTGGTGGTGGAAAACACGCCCATCAGGTGCTGCTCACTGGAGGGGCGGAAGATCTGGCGAGTTCTGCGCCGCCGTCGCGTCCCAGCCCCCCGTGGGCCTCCGGGCTTCCAGAGGCCCCTGGAAGCCTGAGCAGAGCCCAGCAGCACCCAGAGGCCTACACAGTATTCATTTCTAATTCTTCGAAAGTTCTTCGGTTTTTGTTTGGGGGCCAAGGTCCATTCACTTCTGATTGTTCTATCCTGGGCCTCTTCCTGGCCACTAGGAGGCCAGGAACACATAGAAACGAGCACAATTAGAAACGAGCACGCTTAGAAATGAATGACGTGTGCGGCTTCGATCTCCCAGGATCGAGGGCAGACGTTCGCAGGCGGCGGGTGTGGAGGAGAAGGGGGGAGGCCGTGGATGTTTCCACACGTGGGCCCCCAGACCTCTCGACCCTCTCCCCCCCCTGGCCGGCCTTGCATCCTGAGAACGGTTGGGGCGTCGGGTAAGGACCATGCCCAGGAAGCTTCGGACCCTGGAGGACTCCGTATCTGATGCGGGCGGCGGTGAGATCCATGACCAACCCACGATTGGAGTTCGACCCGCTTCCAGACCCTGGGTCTCTTTCTCCAATGATTTCTTGTCCAGTGCCCTCGTCGTCGTAACGTTTTTTGATGGCCCTGGGCCCGGGATGGGCCTTGCAGACTGTAAATGTCGCGGTCGTCTGCCTGGCACGAAGCGGAAAGGATTGGCCATGTCGATCTTCGGGCCATCACTCTGCCTTCCGACGGCTTCGCGGGACGATTCGGGCACCCCCGGTGATACCCCAGCGAGGCGCAGTTGCTGGAAAGCATCCCGACGCTGCAAGAGCCTCCCAGAACATACGATCTGCGGGTCTCAGGAATTTGCATCGCCACCACCTCCATTCCCCCTGCCTCCTCCTCCCTCCTCTTTCCCTCCTTCTCCTGGGAGAGGGAGGATGAGGCGGAGGCGGAGGCGGAGGCGGAGGCGGAGGCGGAGGAAGGGAAGGAGGAAGGGACGGAGGAGGAGGAAGGGAAGGAGGAAGGGACGGAGGAGGAGGAGGAGGAGGAGAAGGAGGAGAAGGAGGAGGGGGAGGAGGGGGAGGGGGGGGAGGGGGAGGGGTGAGGAAGGAGGGAAGGATGAGGAGGAGGAGGAGGAGGAGAGGAGGAGGAGGAGGAGGAGGAGGAGGAGGAGAGGGAGGGAGGGAGGGGGGAGGAGGAGGGATGGAGGGAGGGACGGGGGGTATGGTCGGTCCGGACGTGCGCCTCCCTGGGGGGGAGCGCCCCGCAGCAGGCTGCCCCATCGGCGCCCCGTGCGCAGGCGTCCGAGACACCGCCACGGCGACCCGCGCCGCGAGGGGGGCGCCGAGTGCGCGAGCCGCGGCGCCCCCCTCCTCCTCCTCCTCCTCCTCCTCCTCCTCCTCCTCCTCCTCCCCTCCTCCTCCTCCTCCTCCGTCCTCCTCCGTCCTCCTCCTCCTCCTCCTCCTCCTCCTCCTCCTCCTCCTCCTCCTCCTCCTCCTCCTCCTCCTTTCAGCCTTTCAGCCTTTGACCGACATGATCCCACGGCGTGAGACCAGCAGCAGAGAGAGGGGGCGGGCGGGGCAGAGTGGGTAACAAAAATTTGGGCCACACAGCAACCTCAACCTCTCTGAATGGGGATGCTGTGGCCGAAATATGTCTTGGTGGAGGGGTCTATCCCCCTCTTTAGGAGGGACAGACTATTGGCAGCATCTCGATTTGCTGGATGCCCAAGGCATTTCACAGCCAACTTCAAGGTCTTAGCTCTGCCAAAGCTCTCTCACACACCGCACAATAGTACAAACGCTGATTCTGGACGGACTCGAGACTCCCCCAAAGTCGATGGGTCGAGTGCGCCTGAAGAATTAGTTTGGGGATACCAGTGCAGCTAGACAAGACCAGGCCCGTGTAAGTCCTCGAACGGGACAGACAGATCGCACACGCAAAACCTTCGCCACAGTGCTGAACCTGATGACCGTTCGGGCACGGTACTATGAGCAGCCCGTTGGGTTTGGTCCTGGGCCTGGCCTTACAAAACTCAACATCTGGAAAACGACGGCGCGACAACTGACCAAGCATTCTCGCCGTGAAACGAGACAGAGAGGAAAGACGCGCGGCCTGCCTGGCCTCGAAGTCCTGGAGGTGCTGCGAGTGGCGGACCTCGCGGGCGGCCTGTTTGGACAGAAAGTCGACAGCTCGATTGCCGTGCCACGCCCAGGCTGGACAGCCTTGGGCCTCGGCACTCGTCCTGCTCTTGTGAGCAGGTGCTTTAAAGAAAGTGACGGTTTCTGGGCCTCGGTCCAAAATCCGAGCAAAAACTTCAGTCCAAAACTCACCGAAGGGCACATCCGTGCAGTCCTGGAGACACCCTCGGGACCAAACAGAAATCAGAGCTTCACAATCAATGCCTAACTCTAATTTCCCAGGCCCAGCATGCCTGAGGATCATGAGCACAGCATAAAGTTCGGCCCCATATATGTCCTGCAAGGGGTGGGGGAGCGGTCCTGACGCACTGGCCAGGATGTCTCCAGCTTCGTTCAACATGGCGAAAGCCCAACCTGCTCTACTATGATGCCTAACCTTGGGATCCAGGACTGAGCCATCGGAGCAAATCTTACCTGAAACGAACCCGTCAGGCGGCGGAACGATCCACCTCCACCTGTCCAGAGTCTTGGGCACGGGGGACCTTACGGTGGGGGAGGAGAGGAGGCACCGAGTGAGGAAGGGGCCATTAGGGTCCCCACGTTCCCATTCAGGTAGCTCCTTTTCAAAACCTTGGCCTCGTCTAAACAACTGGTACCCAGGGCATCCGAGCATCCTGTGAAGCCTGCCCCCTTCAGGAAAACCACGCACTTGGCAAGCCCCACTCAGAGCCCGTCGATCCTGATATAATTTCAGCTGTGT